CAGTGTGTTTGCTGTCTAGGTTGTGTAGGGTGTGATATTGATATGGTCATTCCCTTGACTGATGGCAAACATTCCTTCAAAGCTGTGGGCCAGCACCATGCAGACCTCTGAAGGTTTGTAACTTTTAAGGCAAAGACAGATTTTTGAACAGTAAAGGATTAAGTGTTATGGTGAGCAGGTGGATAAGTGGAGCTGAGTTCATGAAAAGATCAACCTTGATCTTATTGAATGGCAGAGCAGGCTCAAGGGGCCAGATGGCCTACTTCCATTCCTTTTTCTTATGTTATGGTTCTTATGTTAACCGATGACAAGCTGTCCTGTGTCTGTGTTAAACAGCAAGACAATACAAAAGTATTGTGACTTTAAAGTGAAGCTGAGGGGGTAAAATGCTGAAAGGCAAGGTAGGGATGTTGTGAGTATCCTGACAGGCATTAATGAATAAACCCTAAGGAAAAAAGCAAGAAGCCTTGAGATGCAGCCTGGTACCATCTGTGTTAACTGGGTGCCTGTCCTGGCATACAGAGCGTCTTTGCAGCAGCATTCCAATTATTGCTGTGCACCCCACAGTGCAGCATGACAGTGCAGAGCATAGTGTAAGTGGACTGGAGAAGTGCCATGATGGTGTAAACAGGCTGACATGTATGGGATACCAGTGTCTAGGTTGAAGATCTGGGGGAGTAAGCAGTAAGTTGGTGTTGCCAGGTACCTGCAAAGACTATTTTCTCGTGGCTTTTGCCATCTATAATGGTGTAATGGGAAAGTGCATATTAATAAGGCAAGATTAAGTAATAATGAAGTGATAATCTCCATTAAGAGGCCTCTCACCATTCACTTGTCTTGACGTGCAGAACTTAGTTGGAAAATATGACTTGTTGCTCCCAATGTTGAGAAAGGCCTCAAATGACATCCCATGCAATTCTAGAAAATTTGCCATAATATCCCACATCATTCAGGGGCTGGAAAGATTTCACTCACAGAGTATCAGCTCTGTATATCTCTGAGAGATAAAACACATCTATGAATACCAATTGCCATCTGCTTCTACTGGACAAAGTAATTCATTTCACAGCTGCATTATCCTGATATTGTTTCGACAGTTCAAGAACAAAGCAAATTTATCAGCTGTATTTCTATGTAAGTGATCCATTTAAGTGATCCATTGTTATATTATGGTATTTTGAGAATCAGCAGAATGATGTTATTGCAAGGACAGAACAACTTCAAACTTGGTTGTCTTACACAATGCAAACATATGCAGGACGTATAGAAGTGATCAGTGACGTATACTTATGAAGTATAATAAATGATAACTATCTCTAGAAACTGCTACAAAGGCCTTGGATGTTTTTAGGCTGTAATTAAATGTTACTTATGAAATGTTAGTTGCTTTGCAATGATTGCAAAACTCTCAAAAAGTTGTTATGGCAAGATTTTCCATAGATGTAAAAATGAGTTTTTAGGAAGTATTTACTGTGGACAAGGACATAGAGGGGAAATAAATAACTGTCTTGGAAAGAGTTCATGCTAAAGACGAGGAGATGCTGGAGGTTTTAAAAACGATAAAGGGAGATAAATCTCCGGGACCTGATCAGGCATTTCCCAGAAGCTTGGAAAGGGATTGCTGGGCCCCTTGCTGAGATATTTGTACCATCAACAGCCACAGGTGAGGTGCCAGAAGACTGGAGGTTGGTTAATGTAGTGCCATTATTTAAGACCGGCTGTAAGAAACTAGGTAACTATAGACTGGGAAGCCTTATGTAAGTGGTGGGTAAGTTGTTGAGAGGGGATTCTGAGTGACTGGATTTACATGCATTTAGAAAGGCACGGATTGATTACAGAGAGTCAACATATCTTTGTGTGTGGGAAATTGTGTCTCATTAACTTGAGTTTTTTTGTCTATATGGACTTCAGCAAAGAGTTTGACTAGGTTCCACATAGAAGACTGGTTAGTAAGGTTAGATCACATGGGATATGAGGGGAGCTATCCAATTGGATACAAAATTGGATTGAAGGATAGGAGATAGATAGTGATGGTAGAGGTTTGATTTTCAGACTGGAGGCCTGTGATCGTTGGTGTGCCTCAAAGATCTGTGTTGGGTCAACTGCTTTTCATCATTTTGGATGTGATTATAGGAGGTACTGTTAATAAGTTTGCAGATGACACCAAAATAGGTAGTATAGTGGACAGTGAAGAAGATTATCTCAGGGTACAATGGGACCTTGATGAGATGGGCCAATGATTGGCAACTGGATTTTAATTTAGATAAATGTGAGATGTTGCATTTTGTAAGGCAAACCAGGATAAGGCCTATAGTTAATGGTAGAGGCCCTGGGGAGTGTTGCCAAACAAAGAGACTTGGCATGTAGGTGCACAGTTCCTTGACAGCGGAATAACAGGTAGACAGGGTGGTGAAGAAGGCACTTGGCATGCTTGACTTCATTGATCAGAACATTTGAGTATAGGAGTTGGGATGTCATGTGGTGCAGTGGTAGTGTCCCTACCCTTGACCAGGAAGGCTCAGGTTCAAATCCCACCTACTCCAAGTGCATAGTAACATCTTTTGAATAGGTTGATTAGAAAAATAAGTTAATAAAACAATTTTTTAAGAGGTCACTTTTAGAATACTGCATACAATTCTGGTCTCCCTTCTATAGAAAGATGTTGTTAAACCCGAGAGGACGCAGAAAAGATTTACAAGGGTGTTGCCAGGACTGGAGGGTTTGAGTTATAGGGAGAGACTGAATAGGCTGGGGCTATTTTCCCTGGGGGATTGGCAGCTGAGGGGTGACCTTATAGAGGTTTATAAAATCATGAGACACATGGATAGGGTGAATAGCCAAGGACTTTTCCCTGGATTGGGAGTCCAAAACTCAGAGGGGAAAGATTTAAAAAGGATCCGAGGGATAACTTTGTCACACAGAGGGTTGTGCATGTATGGAATGATCTGCCACGCAGGTACAATTACAATTTAAAAGGTATCTGAATAGGTATATAAATAGGAAGGGTTTATAGGGATATGGGCCAAATGCTGGCAAATGGGACTAGGTCAGATTGGGATGTTTGGTTGGTGTGGTTTGGTTTGCGCTGTATGACTCTATAACTTACACCACACCATATCAGTGACAGCTCTTCACTCAGATAATATTACAGCTGAAGTAGAGACTTTAAAGTACAGAAGGTAGCAATCAATCCGATAAGAGATAACAGTCTGGAGCCGGAGGAACACAGCAGGCCAGCATCCTGTTTCTAAGTCAGGATTTGAACGATTCAATAAAAACAATAGCTGAAATATGTTGAGTTGCCAGTTACATCCTTGGAAAAAGGGATTCCTGGCTATTCCATACAATTCATTCCTAATGAATAGTAATGTTAAGACATCCAACTGAAGACGTGGGTTTGTATTGTTTTCCATAATATGTGTGTGGCTGCCAGCAACAAGATCTCCATCAACTTTGAAGTATTGGCTTGATTAAATTTTTCAGGCAAGATGTTGGGTATCAAACTGGCAGCCCAGTAGATTGAATGCAAAGGGAACCAATGCAGGGGATGGTCAGTAGAAGCAGATGACAATTGGTATTGTGTGTTTTTTTTTATCCCTCAGAGATATGCGGAGGTGATACAACACTTTCCATGGGTGAAACCTTCCCAGACCTTGGAATGATGCGGGACATGATGGCAAATTTGCAAGAATTGCATGAGATATCACGCAAAGCCTTTTCTCAACATCACAAGCAAGAAGTTATATTTTCCAACTAAGTTCTGGATGTCAAGACGAAATATTCGTTAGTGAATGGTGAACTGGGAACACGGATGGTCTAGTCCGTTTGGAATGGAGGAGGATGAAACTGGGCTTGAGAGTGGCAAGGTACTGGAAGGATGGAAAAGTTTCAAGTTTAAACTGAATAAATGTTTTTGAAGATGTAACTAGCAGGGTAAAGCAAGGAAGTGGGTGTTTCCATTGGCTGAGTGGATAATTAGAACTCAGGGCATAATCTCAGTTTAATCATACACCATTTAGGACTTGAGGTGAGGATAGATTTCTTCATGCAGAAGGCAATTAACCTTCCTCTTCCCTGAAGAGTTTTAAATACAAATGGTCAAGCATATTTACACCAAGATTTCAGTTAAGGTGCTGTGACCTTTCATCAGAAAACTGGGCACGGAGTTGATCTTGAAGATGAGCTACGACCTTACTAAATGGTGGAGAGAGCTCGAGGTTTCTCTTTGGACTGCTGCGCTTTCATTTCCTGAAATGAAGTAAATTCAAGTTGGATTAATTTGCCCATGTGGTGGTGGTGGTGATGATGATACTACAAGACAAGGAGAGACACTGACAGGGGGAATGTCTGATTTCACCGACTGAAATATTGGATTTGTGAAAACTACCACCCAGCCCGGTGCTTTGAACAGTTAGAAGTGATAGTCGGTAATAAATATAAGAAATCTAAGGATAGGGCGGCTTTGCTCGAACCTCAGTCCGTCACTATCTCCTCCTCCCTTCCGCCATTTCACTGCACCCTATAAAAACTACAAAAACGAAAATCACAAAGGCCGCAGATGCTGATCAAACTTCACTTCCGCCGACAACCAACGACGATATTTAAAATAATTTCATATGGGGGGAAAAAATCCCGCCGGCAGTAGTTAATGCTTGAAACAATGCTTTATATATAATAAATATATAAATACACATCATTTTTTTAAAAAAAATCGAAACTTAAATATACTTCCCACAATCCCGAATACGAGCAATTGTGTTTTTAAAAAAAATTAGAAATGTTTTTAAAAATAAAAACCTTCGGTGACAGTCCGTTGGATTTGAATTTTGTTTTGGTGGTTGGTGGGGGTGGGGGGAAGGGGTTGAAGGAAAAAGCCGTTAAATTGGAGCTTGGGGGGCGGGAGGGTTGGGGGGAAGGGAGAGAGAAAGAAGGGCAGACGACCGTTTCCCATAAGGCGGCGCGGCCTCCCCCGCCGTGGTCTATAAATAACCCCGCCCCGCCGGCTGCTGCGTCACAGTCAGTCCGACTGCCAGGCCGTGCGTGTGAGGCAGTTAGCTCCTTCTCTCTTTATTTTATTATATTTCCAGACCAGCGTGTCCGGCACGGCAGAGCCTTTCACCTGGTGTCCCGTGGAGGAAACCCCTTTAAGGCCGGATGGTCAAGACCTCCGTTCAGCGCATTTTGAATAGTCACTGTTTTGCTAGAGAGAAAGAAGGAAACAAAATGCCATCCGTGACGTTTAGTAGTAATACTAGTACCGAAAGGTAGGGGGTTTTCTCCGCTTGGAATAACAAAAAAAAGACAGACGCGAGGCGAGATTGGCTTCACTTTCTTTTACCCCTTTTTGTCTTTAAACTTCAGTTCTCCAGATTAAATACCTGCGTTTACTATACACTGGGTGTAATAAGCCAAATATTCGCATACGAATGCGGTTAAGAAAGTGGTTTACCGTCGACGGAGTCTTTAATTTCTATCCATTATATTCATTTAAATCTACGGCCATTCTTTCCCCCGCCCCCAAAGAAACGAAAGCTCGCCCCCGTCCCAAAAAATGGTATAATCTCCTCGATTAGTTATTTCTAATCATCAAGGAGCATAACCAAAAGTTAAATGGGTTGACGCGAAGTGTAAGGTTCGTAAAATGGCGACTGGTTTTTATTTGAGGGGAAAACAAGGCCGAGGGTGATTTTTTTTTTTGTAAGGCTGTGGACAGATAAATTAGGAGGCTGGGAAATTCCCTGGGGGCTGTATCTCTGAGTAGACGTGGTGCCTCTGATGGTTGGAGACTGAGAATGCAACAGGAAGTATGTACTTTCTCCCTCAGCGCCTGTCCTTTGCTGCCAAATCATAGGAGGCCGACCAGGCTCTTTTAACATCCACACTTTTCATGGCATTCTGCTCTTTTACCACTACAGTGACATTTGGGAGAAAAAGGAGGATAGAACAGGAGTGGCTTTAATGCTATTTTGGTGATATTATGTGCTTCCACTTATTAAAAATGATTTTTAATTTTGGATATTTGGGTAAAATTAACCAAATAAAATGCTAAGACATCTGACTGATCTATAAGGGTAAATTGGTTATTCAAACTTGATATTGGCATGGTAATTTGGCTGTACATTGTAACCTTAATGATTTAATGTTGTCTTGTTTACTTTAATACAGCATAATTGGGCATGGTATAGAGTTTTTGCCTCTTTTGGGTTGACCTGGTTCAAACCTATGCTGAATCTTAATGCTATGCATTGTTCTCCCTTGCTGAGAAAACAGCACCTGAGACTATACTTGAAGCAAAAAGGAATTGGAAGATTGTCCAAATCAAACTTTATCTAACTAATTGTAGTTGAGCTGCTTTGAGCTCGGACTTGAATTGATACTGGGTGTGGATAGTTTGTTAAAGAAACATGAATTTATAATTTTTCTGTTTTGAATCTAGGTGGTGAAATTGCTCTAAATCCTATTTTGTTTCAGTCCCAGGCTGTCGTCCAATTGCTGTCGTAACCTTAGTCCGGGGCCTCTGTGGTGTTCCTGATGTCCCTCACCCACCCTTGAAGATCCCAGGTGGGCGAGGGAATGGTCAGAGGGATCACAATCTTGCAGCTAACATACTGTATTCAGTAAGTTTTGAGCTATTAAGTTGCAAAATTAGTAACTAAACTTTGAATTCTTCTTGGCACGGGAATCCATGCTGCATGAGTGGGAATTTGAAAGTAGGGGATGACTTTTTCTTGGTTGAGATTGAAATTGAGCTTGTGAAGTGCTCCTTGGGTGTAATGGTAGCTTAAGTTAATGGAATAGATCGGTTGTCATTTCCAAGAAAGCATAAGACATTTGAAAGCTGGTAGGAGTTGTGACTTCTAACTTCTGTTCCTTGACTGCAGGCTAAGTAGAGGACAACTGCAATGATGCTTATGTAATAACTGCTTTTGCAAATTTAACAGTTGATCTGTGCATGATTTGAAATGTTTCCCAGCAATCCAGCCTCCTTAAAGAGCATGATAAAATATTAATCGTCTTCTCCAGGATAATCGGCTGAGTGTAACAGAAGATTTGAGTGCAAATGGCAGGACTAAGATTCTCCACTTCCAGTCCAAGCTTACTGATGCAAGAGTTGTTCACTGGAGAGCAGTACTGAATAATAACAATCTGTACATTGAACTCCCAGTTGGGGTCTTGCCAGAAGGAAGCAAAGAAAGGTATGTGGTACTGCACATGATTAGCTTGGCAGATCATTCATGCATGAAATTTTATTGCTTAGTTTTTGCTTGGCCAAATGTTTTATGGTTAAGCATTGGGATAGAATAAATGGCTCTTTTACTAATCCATTGACATTGTAATGTGACTTTCAATATTTCTGATCACTCCTTAGAGCTGAAAATAGGCCAAGTCATTGGTTAGTCAGTTTGTTTTATTTTGATTGCACCACAAATCTGAATGGAACTGATGGAGTGCTGAGTTGAAATGCTGTTCTCAGACTTGACATCTTAACTATACAAACCAGTGGGGTGTCAGTTAGCTCAGTTGGCTAGGCAGCTGGTTTGTGATCAGAATGATGCCAACAGTGTGGGTTCAGTTTTGGCACTGAAGAACACTCCTTGGTCCCTCCCTTGCCTTAGTTCTGGTGGCCTCAAGTTAAGCCATCACCTCGTGTGTCTCTAATGGGAGAGCATCCCTATGATCCATTTGGATAATGGCAACTTTACCTTTTTATAAACCAGTGTATATCTTAAAGCTCAATTGTGTAATATGATCACTAATAGAACATAAAGTAATCCAAACCTTTTCATGTTAATGAGCATTTCTTTATTGAAGAATAAATTCAGCATTGAATCCATTTTGTCTTTCAGTTTTGCCATCCTGCTTGAATTTGCAGAAGAACATCTTCAAGCTGAGCATGTGTTCATTTGCTTCCACAAGAACAGGGATGATCGAGGTAACTAAGCAGTGTTGATAACATCTATGGCCCTCAATGTACATGTTTATATGGTAACCGTTTCTGACTTATCCCCATAAGTAAACAGTCTGTCTAACTTGGGAATGTTATTCTTGTGTTGTCATGGCTCTCTCCTTCACTTAACTGGAATTCCAGACAGTTTCTTGTTTCCTCCTTACACCTCTAACATTGTTTTTGCTTAACATGGAGGTGAAGTTTTATCTCAGATTTTATTTACGAACAAGAGTAGGCCAATTTGTCTTTCAGATCTTCTCCACCATTCTACAAGATTGACACTGAAAAAGCAGATCAGTCACAACTAAACATTCCTGTATACCCCTAATAATCTTTCATCCCCTGGGTAATCAAGAATCAATTTACCTTTGCCTTAAAATATTTAGATTCTGCATTCAGTTTTTGTAGAACAGAATTTCAAGAGTTTATTTTTGAACTTGACCCCTAGTTCTATATTCTCCCATAAGAAATATCTTTTCGACATTTGCATGGTCACATCCCTTCAAGATATCTACTGGCTGTATTGGATTCAGGTATTGTTTTAATCTAGATGATAACTTAACTTGAATTGACTGTCAGACTAAAGTTTCTTGAGTTAAAATACTAACTAAAGCAAACAATTAACTTTGGCAATTTCATTCTGGTTTTGGTTGGTAAGCTTTTACTATTGGTTTGGAGAAGGGGTGGCAGTTGGATATTGTGTCACAAACAAATATTCTCTAATTCAAACATCTCTGGCAAAATGTTAAACTAGTTAAAAATTTCATCTTTCTGATACTGTTTAAAAAAAAAAAAAAATCCAGGTGCATTTGCCAGAGTTAAAGCTTGCACTTCATTTTGTCTGCAATCTTCACTGATTAGTTCCAGCTTATTGGTATAAGGAAAAGCTGCACAATTTTATAATTGATAGCTCTGAGCATGGTTCCAAATGACCAGACAGAACTGCACTTACATAGTTCTGTTGCAAAATGCCTTTTTTCACCAATCTGTAGACTGTCTTGTGGTACTTTTCCTCTTGGTCAAGTCTGGATATAACCATAATTATATCGAGTATAAAGTGAAAACTATATTGGCAATGCAAGTGCTGTCCAGTGTCTTCCTTACCATTGTCTTGCAATAGTAGTTCAGTGCTTTAAGTTCAAAATTGAAATTAGTGGCTGTCCTCTGTCCACCATTGAGTGCAGAAATAGAGAATTTACTTAGCTGTTTGATACACATTGGAACATTGTTTGAAATTATGGACTCATTGGCAGACTTCTGATTTGGACAGAAAGACCACTCGGTCAAATTTGTTCACTTCTGGCACAACAGCTTCAGCTCAGTAATAGTGTCAGTGTTGTGCCTGGTTTCAGCCATCTGAAATAGGGCATTCAAACCCTTGAGTTGCTCATCATGAGGGTTGAACTTCTGGTTTAAAAACCTTTTGCTGATTCAGCCTTCAAAGGAAATGACTGGGTCAGATTAAATAGACTATATATCCAACTTTGAGACATGTGGTGTTATGATTGGCCACAATTGGCAATGGTTGTTTCCTAATTTGTGAAACCTTCTAACCATCTTTTTGCTGCCTTTTAAAATTGCGTTTGGGTAGAAGAAATCCATTCTAAGATTGCCTGAATTCTCTTCTTTAATAGTCATAGCTTTGTAAACTTCCTTCTACACATCATGTCGAATGTTGTGCTCAGCTAACTTGATTCAGTATTTTGTCTCTTTAAAAAATCTCTTGCACTTTACATTTAAGCTGTGACTATTAAATTCAACTAGTTTGTAAAATTGAATTTTGCAGTTTGCAATTTTCTGAACTTGCAGAGCATGTAGCTTTTGGTTCATGTATTGTAACAAGGGAATCAAAGTCATTGGCTTGGATTATGTGGTGAGAATATAAAACTTCAACGGTAGAGGTAAGTTATTAGCCCCCCAGAACACTGTCCTCCACAATTGAATATGCATATAGGTGGATTTTCTGCAAGTTCTTTGACCAGCAGCAGTGCCATTACTGAAACTAAACAGAAGTGACCCCTCTAAGCTATGCAGCTGCTATGAGACTCTCGGGAAAGCAGTCAACATGTGAATGCAGCAAGCTGTTGACTTCTGCTTATGGAAGTTAGCACCACGCACAGACCTCGAGGTCCCCACAAACAAAATTAGTCAGAGGACGACTGACAGTTGCGAGCAAACCAGGAAGTAACAAACAGGTTTTGTCTTCCTGTTTTACAACTTTTTATATAAAGAGATTGGTACATGTGGGGGATTAATGTGCAAGCTGAAGTATCAAACTTTAATTGAGTTCTATGGAACAGAGAAATTTGATTTTCAGACTTTTTGGTTGTTCAATACTGATTTGGTACATTTAAAAGAAATTGCCCCTTACTCAACATGGCACAACTTTTTCCATAAAGACTGGCATGAAGAGTGGAGGTTTGAGTTTAATCAATGATTTGATTTGTTTCTAGTTGAATAGTTCACCTGAAGTGGGAAATGAGTGCAACTAAAGAATTTCCATGTTTAATTTTATATGCAAACTGTTACAGAGATGGTAAATATTGACAGCTTTGTCTTTAGTACAACTGAAATCTGGACCCTTCCCCATGCACAAGCCAGGCTGGAGAAATTACTACTTGCATGAAAGTGTTAACACTTTTTTTTTTTTTTTTTGTTTTTAAATTCCAGCTTCACTGCTTCGCACATTTAGCTTTCTTGGCTTTGAGATTGTGAGACCTGGACATCCCCTCGTCCCAAAAAGACCAGACGCTTTCTTCATGGTGTATACATTTGAAAGAGACTCATCTGATGAAGAATAAACTTGTGCTTTTATCTTGCTCTCCTGTTTTGGGTTTTTTTGTTTTGTTTGTCTCATCTGTGAAGGTATATTGGTGAAATTCTGTCTTATCTAGCATTGCAGCCTCAGGAGAATCTTCAGGTTCAGTGGTGGTCACTTGGATAATTTCACTTGTACTGTATCTCAGTTTGCATGTTATGATTATAACAAATAAATTGCTCACCATGAAATTAACTGCATACACTTTTTAGTTTTGGTTGACATGTTTCATTAATCTTAAATAAAATTTATTTTTACTGTTGAAGTCTTAGTTTGGAATGAATAAAAAGGTTTTGATTATCATTGTTTCAGGCAACAAAGCTTAATCCATCCCTTCAATCTCTGTTCCCACCCTTTGCCCTGTTTAGAATTAAGTTTCTCACTTTGTAGGGGCCCCCAGTGGGGCAGGGGTAGGGGTAGGGGCCCCCAGTGGGGCAGGGGTAGGGGTAGGGGCCCCCAGTGGGGCAGGGGTAGGGG